TCAAAATTCTTAGGAAGACATAAGGAATAATTTGGTGTGATTTTTAGGATTTATTGGTGACTCTAGGAAATTTTGGAAAATTGTGTATTTTTGGGCTCCAGGGGTATTTTGGTAATTTTTTTGGAAAATTAGATATTTTTGCAATTTTCAGACTTTAAATTGTCTAAATTATAATATCAAATAGTTTGAAGGGAATTTTGTGATTCAATGACAGTTTTGGGGAATTTTGAAGAATTAGAATATTCAAGTGGGGCATTTAGGGGAAACTGAGTTCAAATAATTTTGGTTAGTCTCATGGGTGTAATGATTGCAATATTGTGATATGAAAATGCAATGTTTATGATGATCATGATGATTATGAAACTAACATAGAGAACGAAGATTTGGTTGAAATTTCTAAGGAGAAGGTGAGGACCATTTCTATAATGTTAAGATACTCATTAGGATAGTCTTAAGATTAGATCTTAGTCACTAAAGAAAAGATCCATAACCCTCATCCAAAACTGAGGTAAACAGTTATCTCCTCTTGTTCTTCCCCTTCCCACTTCCCCTTGCTTGCTGCTACCCTCTCCACAGTCGCTGCTTGTTGCTGCATCTTCCACAACCCTCTGCGTGCTGTCCAGCTGTACCAATTAAGTTCCGACCAGCTGCTGCGCCCCTCCACAACCCCTTATTTGTTGTCCTGCTGCCAAACCACCACTCCTTTGTGCCCTTGAAGCCTATCTACCACATACCACTCTTCGTTTCCACTGCATTGGTCCCAACCCTCAACTCTGAAACCTCGTCCTAGGGAGTCTTTTGCGTTTATGTTGTCATTTTTTTTTTTGTTTCAAGCGTCTTTGGTTGTAATTCTCTTTGAATTTCAACAATATTATTTTTATTCCGTTGCAGTTTCTTGTTAACTTCGATATCATTTGGCATTTGAGCTAGTCTAACCCTATTCATATCTTAGGGTTTCTAGCATCCACCATACCCAAATCATCTCCACTCCAAAAATTTTCTTTCCCATCCTCAAATACCTTCTTTCAATTTCACAAATCCAAATTATAACAATGTCACCAAGGAGAAACATGCCAGGACCTACCTGGGAAGAATTATAACGAGAGATTCGTCAACTTTAGCAAATGATTGTGGAGATTGATGACGGGACCCAAAGGAAAATACTCTCGATCATGATATGGAGAGTCGAAGGGGAGAAAGGGATGATAGTCTAAATTTCAATGACAGCAGAGACAAAACATATAATCGCCTTCATTTAGACAACCACTTACAGCTACAACTACCAATAAGGCCACACCTGGAGGAGTTGGGAAGACCGAATTGGGAAGTGACAAAACATATCTGAGTGGAAAGAGACACAGAAAGGGTAATTTGCTCAATATAGTGCTTGTCAGGAGATGCTTTAGGTGCCACGACTACGGATATCTGGGGGGCCTGATGCCAGCTGATAATATTGTGTAACTGCAGCCCTATTGGTCATCGGGAGATGTCCAAACCTTAGCCTTGAAGGTGGAAAGACAATAGAGACAACACAGACAGTCACCCTCATTTAAACAATCACCTATACCTGCAACTACCAACAAGGCTACACCTGTAGGAGTTGGGAAGACCGGACAAGGAAGTAATAAGACAAATCTTTAGCGGAAAGAAACCTGAAAAGGGTAATTTGCCCAGTACAGTGCCTGCCAGGAGATGCTTTAGGTGCCACGATTGCGGTCAAAACCTCCATCTATCCCATGAGCCGAGTTGTTTCATTCACAGAGCAGGGCGTCGTCGAGGAAATGGAGGAGAAAGCAGAGCATCCAGTGAAGAATGTGCATTGACAGTTGGGTCATCAACAAGCTTACTATCAAATATAGGTTCTCCATACCTCACCTACACGATCTCTTATACCAGTTGCAAGTATCCATTGTATTTTTCAAGATTGACTTACACAGCGGGTATCACCAGCTCTGGATGGGGTTAGGGGATGGGTGGAAGACTGCTATCAAGACCCGAGATAGATTAAACAAGTGGACAATCATGCCCCGACTGTCCAATGTGCCCAACACGTTCATGTGATTGATTAATCAAGTGTTCCGAGCTCACGTTGAGAAGTTCGTAGTGGTGTGCTTCGATGATATTCCGGTTACAACAGATCCGAAGAGGAGCACTTACAACATTTGAGAACAGTCTTCAAGGCGTGCGATCAGAGAAACTATATGCCCATCAAAAGAAGTGTCACTTCCTGACAGTATATGTATGTTTTTTGAGCTATATTATGTTTAGTGCATGCATTCAGATGGATCCCATAAAGATCAATGCCATTATGAGCTAGGCAACACCTCAGTCTTTTACCGAGTTGAGAGTTTTTTGAGACTGACATCATTCTATAGGCAATTTATCAGGAGCTGCAGCCAATTACAACTCTGAAAAATTCCAGTGCACAGATGTAGCTCAGGAGAGCTCTTAATCACTGAAGTCAGTACCTACCGGCGAGCGAATTCACCTTATTCACAGATCATGAGGTTTTGAAGCTCTTGAACAGTCAGAACAAGCTAAAGGGTCGACACACATCTTGAATGGAGTTCTTGGCGTCGTTCTAATTTGTGCTTAAACATAAGACGAGAAGCCAGAATCGAGTAACAGATGCACTGATCCGCCGTCATTTGCTGATCACTTTTATGTAGACTTGAGTAATAGGTTTTGAGGTAGTGAAGAGTTGTACGAGATAGATGTGGATTTCAGAAAGATCTGGGAGATGAGTCAAGAGAAGCCTATCAAATAGTATCGCAACGCTGATGGTTACATGTTCCACCAGAGTAAGTTGTGTATTCCTAGATGTTCGCTGAGAGAGCCGTAGTGGAGAACTTGCAGGATACTTTGGCAAGGATAAGACACTTGCACTCATGAGAGAAGACATTATTTTGGCTTCGACTAACGAGAAATGTATAGCGACAGGTCACCCAATGCAGAATTTGTCATGTGACCAGAACCAGAGGACATAATGTAGGACTATATACTCCGTTACCGATGTCGGAGACCCCGTGGGTGGATGTTACCATTGATTTTATGGTTGGTCTTTTGAGAACACAACAAGAATTCTGTGATAGTTGTGATGGACAGATTCTCAAAGTTTACTCATTTTATACTGTCACTTGACACTGGATTCACTGCATGTCGCTAATTTGTACTTCTAAGAGGTCATAAGACTACACGGGTACCCAGGATCATCACTTCCGATAGATATGTCAAATTTCTGAGCCATTTCTGGAGGACCATAGGGGAATGCTTGACACTAAGCTTCTATTCAGTTCAGTAGCTCATACATAGACGACAATCAAACAAAGATGGTTAACAGGAGTCTGGAGAATCTTCTGAGGTGATTTGTGGGAAATAATATTAAACAGTGGGATATGATTATAGCGAAAGCTGAGTTTACTTGCAACAAATATGTGAGTTAGGCCACGGGACACACCCAATTTTAGATCGTGTACGAGTGCAACCCTTTCAATTCACTTGACTTGGTATCGCTCCTTTCAACATCAGAGACTAATGAGGATGCTGAGAGGGTGCAAGAGATTCAGAAGCTACTCAAGGAAGTGGGAAATGAGATCACCAAGCAGAGGCAAACAAGGCTAGGAAAAATGTGGCTTTTCAAGAAGGGGATCTAGTGTGGATTAGGTTGAAGAAAGAAAGGTTTTTTGTTGGATCCTTTGGGAAGCTCAAGCCTAGGGTAGATGGACCTTTCAGGATTCTCAAAAAGTTGAATGACAATACTTAAAAGATCGACCTGCCAGAGGATTACAATATTTTTGCTACTTTCAATGTTGTAGAATTGACTTAATGCTACAAAGAACTAGAAGCTTTGACTTCGACATATAAGATTGAAGCTTCCACAATTCCGGGAGACTGACACGAGAACGCCTTGACTCGCACAGGTGCAACATATGCCATACGTTTGGCTCGATTCAGGCAGAATTTAGATCGGGTGGACCTCCTTAGCACACAAGTCTCTCTTATTTGGCGGGGGGCTCACTCCTCTTTACCCTAAGGATTTTTATATGCTATTTTCTGTGTTTTAGGTCAGATTTGGTTTTCAGATTTCTACCGGCGGCGTCTTTCTCCCTTGCTAGGGTTCTATTCGAGAAAAAGTGGCCCTCCGCCTATATCCTGCTTCAAGGGGGTGGTTATCTCCTCGTGTTCTTGCCCTTCACACTTCCCTTTTCTTGCCGCCTTCCCCTCCACAGCTGCTGATTGCTGCCGCACTTCCCACAGCCCCCTGCTTGCTCCGCCAGATTCTGTTCAAAAAAATTTTGAGTAGTTTACGAGGAATTGCTAGAGCCACGATTCGTGATTGTGTTGGCACTGGGCATGGTCGCGTTGGAAGGCACCAAATTGTCATGCGTAATCATGCAGAGATCTTGGACGTGAAGGATACATGATATTTCTGTTGGGCTATCGTTATGAGGCAGTGTTCTGAGACGGTGATTTTACATGAAGTTCGTAGCTTCATTGAATGATAATTTTGAAGTGGACTATTAAAAATGATGACAAGAATGTGGCGGCGAACGAAAATTATGGTGGCAAAATTGATGGTAATGAAATCAAGAAATGCACCATGGATAAAAATCATGATCTCATTTTGAACATTTAGAATTTTCAAATTTCTAAAATCGAAAGAAAATGTAAGCAAGATAAATGGGATTATTTATAGACTTATGCATTAGGCTAATTACTCATCCTAATCAATCTACTACTATCTACTAAACTAATTGTAAGTCGATGCACAATATATATTCGGCATGAGAACCATAGAAACTTTACAATAGTTTTACAATGAAATTGTCATGCAGCTGGTAAATGAAGCTCGAAGCTGTTGGAAGTAAAGAGTGTAGGGTGGCTCATGACTTTTAAAATCTTGCGTGGTTGTTGTACCTGTTTTTATTATCTTAAAGATGGTTCTGGCTTTAGCTATCTACCACACTGTTTATGGATATTTATAAAGCCTATTTTTACAGTGGAGTTGAACGATTTAAGCGGCAATTCGCTCATTTTGAAGAGCATCCTGGGAAGGGGAAAGGAGCTGCTCCAATTTTGCGGCAGAATACTTCTTTGCCTAGGTAAAACATTAAAATGTTCAATTGAAGATTAGTATGATGAGCACCATTTTCCTTTATTAACTTGACCCTATAGTGTAATGATTTGCATCTTGGTTTCAGGGAGAGAGTTTTACCAGCTAAAGAAGAAAAGGCTGATACAGAGAATGATTCTGAAAGGCTATGTACAGCTGGGGCTATTAATTTAAGCAATGACAGCCCTTCCAAATCTCAACAGGTTATGGTATCTGGCGATTTTGTGGCTGCAGAAAATGTGCAAAACAGATCGACTTATAGCACGCGGAGCTTACTGAAGAGTGCTAGCATAAGTGCTTCCCAATGTATAGAAGTGAAAGGACGAATGTGAGTTTGTAGATTTATCTTCTTGCATATTTAATTTTGATACATATCATAGGAAACCCATCCATTTTGATGAAATGCGATAAATGTTTTATCTTTTAGTTAATATTCATTAATAGAAAATCAATATCAAGAATCTCTAACAAGTAACATAGACTTGTACTTGTATAAATTTATACATAATTTGTATGTTATCATCTATGATTTTATATCATTCAACTTGGTTCAAAGATTTTGGTGAGCTATCTAGTGCTCGAAATCGACTTGCACAACAACAACAACAAAGCCTTAATCCCACTACGTGGGGACGGCTACATGAATCCTTTTTCTCCATTGCGTCCTATTTAGTGTCATATTTTCATTTAGTTCTAGTAATCGAAATCGACTTGCAATCAAACAAATTTTGGGCGAAGTACCAATTTCAATAAATTAATGTAAATCTTGCATACAAATAATGGTAGTGTCATAGAACATGGTGCGTGTTGGAGAAATGATAAATTTTTAAAGCATTCTAGTTGCAAAAATATTGATAATTTTGACAAATGGATATTCTAGGAATATTTCTAATAAATATATGTAGAATCAAAAAAAAATTGAAGTACAATCTTATCATATTAAAAAAAGGATATATTATATGATTTTCTAGTAAATGAAAAATCATTATGATATATAACATTAGAAAGACATTATATGAAGGACCAAATCATTATAAAAAAATAAGTAATCCAAATAATGTATTCTTGGATTTAAATATGATTATGTATCTTGGATTCAACGAGGTGAATAGAGTTTTAAATTATATGTTTTTTGTTTTTAAATGTTGTTTTTAAGGACAAGTCTATAAATATATTGTTGCAGTTTGACATGCTCAGTAAACTTATATTTATGACCTTGTAAGTTAAGAAATAAAAAAATTTAAAAATCTATATTAGTTTTGGTTGATTTCATAGGAATAATATCAGCTAATGTTTGAGGAGTTATATTATCAGATTGTTCTTATAATTGTTGACTCTTATTAATGCCAAAGTCCAATGTTATTTCAATTTTGTGATGTTGGAGCTTGTATGGCTTGGGCTGGTTGATCCGATTTGTAGTATTAAGAAGTGGTTCATATTGATGTTTTCGAGAGTGTTTGCGTGCCGACAATTCATCACATGTGCCAAAAGGCTCCTGTGTAATCACAAGTCCAAGAAATGATTATTTGAAAAAAAATTCAAAAGCTATCATGTAATGCATAAATGATATGACATGTTGCTGATGCAATCATTTCCCATTAAAGTATGACACTGTGACTCTAAAATGTTCCTAGCAAGAATTGTGCTCCAGGGAAAAGGATAATTTTTTTATTATTTTTTTTATTTTAGCCTATGCTCACCATGATCTCGAAAATTACCCTCTCCACATTATGATTGAGTTGGCTTTGGTAGAATCCCCAAACACAAACCATATGATCAGGATTGAGCAGGTCAACTTAAACTTTCAGTTCAGAAATCTACCTAAACCTGATTGCCTGTGTTGGATCAATCAGGTCCGACGACTTTTGCTCATGCTAACTCATTTGAGGTTTAAATTTAGGAATAACTTTATAAGCACGCCACAGTTCTTATGCATTTACTTATCTTACACCGAAAGTTTATGTTTACACTTATAACATCTTGTTGTCATAAACATATACACAAAAATTTGTATTTTTGATGTGATGTTAAAGATTTGAATGATATTTTGTTGTGAAAAACGATGACAATAAAGCGAAAAATGGAACGAGAAAAAATAGCACACAGAAAATCACCAGAACAACACATAGATTTACGTGGTTCGACAAATTTGCTTAAGTCCACGGAGCTGCAAAGGATTTTATTTGTTCGAGGAATTACACTTAAATTTAGGAAAAACTTTATAAGCACGCCACAGTTCTTATGCATTTACTTATCTTACACCGAAAGTTTATGTTTACACTTATAACATCTTGTTGTCATAAACTTATACACAAAAATTTGTATTTTTGATGTGATGTTAAAGATTTGAATGATATTTTGTTGTGAAAAACGATGACAATAAAGCGAAAAATGGAACGAGAAAAAATAGCACACAGAAAATCACCAGAACAACACATAGATTTACGTGGTTCGACAAATTTGCCTAAGTCCACGGAGCTGCAAAGGACTTTATTAGTTCGAGGAATTACACCTTCGAACTCCCTAACATTTACAAGAAAATCTTATTTTCTTCTCTCCCTTCTTCTTCTCTCTCTCTCTCTTCCTCTCTCTCTCTCTCAGAGGATTTGGCTTGGCCTTGTTTGGCTTGACTTTTGGCTTATTTATGATAAGCCATAAGAGGCTATTTATAGAAATCATGAGAGCGGTAGGTGAGAGTTAGGTGAGCGGTAAGTGAGCGGAATGTGAGATTCTTAATTAGGAAGCTAATTAAATTGCGATGGACTGAGTCTCCACATTACCCAACAATTCCTCCACTTGGAAACTAGAACATTGACTGCATCACTTACTGGTTGCATCATCTACTAGTTGTACTAACTTTTTCCTCAAACATGACATCCTCCACCTCTATAACTCAAAGCCCCTGTCTTCAAGCCAGAAGACCAGCTGAAGTCGAACACAACTTCAGCTTCTCACGAGTAACACCCTTAGTTGAGATATCATCGTCAACATAGCCTTGTACCACAAAGCTTTTTGTTAGATTACTATAGTATTTGTTTACAACTCCCACTGCATGAGCAATATCCTGCTCCTGCTAAAAACTCTTTTCAACGAGTCCAGCTTTGTAACTCTTACTGCCATCAAACGCAGTTTTTACCCGGTACACTCACTTGTTGTGCAATGTTTTCTTCCCTGGTGGAAGTTCTGTTGGTTCCCAAGTCCGATTCCTTGGCAGGGAACTTGTCTCCTCCTCCTTGGTCAACTCCCACTTGCTCGAATTTTCATCTTGCAAGTTTTTTTTATAGCTCTGTGGTTCTCCACCATTTGTCTGTACAAGGTTAGATTTTCCTGCCTTTGACGCTCTGACACTTTTCAAGAAATTGACCTTCTTCTGTTTCCCCATAATGCAGTTTCCCCATAATGTACATCTGACTATTATGTCCACGTCTGTGTAAATCTGTAGTCATATATAATATGTCAGTTGTCTTACCCTGAGTCAGTACTAATGCTCCTTTGGTAACCTTCCCGGTGCTATCCGAGAACATTACCGAATAACCACCCTCGTAGTCATATATAATATGTCAGTTGTCTTACCCTGAGTTAGTACTAATGCTCCTTTGGTAACCTTCCTGGTGCTATCCGAGAACATTACCGAATAACCACCCTCATTGAGCTGCCCAACAGAAATGAAGTTTTCCTTCAACTCAGGAACGTGTCTGACCTTTTGCAAAGTTCATTTGCTATTGTTCGGAAGTGTAATATCAACGTCTCTCATCTTCACCACATCAAGAGCTTTTACATCAGTCAGATATACCTTCCTAAAGTTACCTAGAACATAATTTCACATTAATTCCCGGCAGGAAGATGTATGGAAGGAAGCTCTTGAATCCAGTATCAAGTCATCAACAACTGTGAACTGTCAGTAATAGTGCATCCCGTATTTCTTCAGTAAGAACATTAGCGTCATCATTCACCTTCTTCTTAGGATTCCTGCAGTTCCTTTTTATGTTGTCAGTCTTGCCACAATTCCAGTTGGTTGTCTGCTGACCAGACATTGATTTTGATCTTCCTCTATTTGAGTTTCCGTCATGTGATCTCCATCTCGAATCAACATTCAGCGTCAAACTTGAACACAAGGCCTCGCCAAAATCCTTCATGCACACCTCCTCAACCAAAATTAAATCACAAATATCATAATATTTCAGCTTATATTTTCCTAAAAAACTGCTAACTGTCATCCTCATAACTTCCCAGTTATTTGACAATGAAGTCAATAATATCAGCGCACGTATCTCATCATCAAGATCAATTTCAACAACGACAATTGATTTGTGATAGTATTAAAATCATTCAGGTGTAGAGCAATAGACACACCTTCCGCCATCTTCAAGTTGAATATCTTTTTTATCAAGTGCACTTTGTTATTCACCGATGGTTTTTCATACATACCTGATAAAACCGCCATGAGATCTGCAGTAGTCCTCTCTTTGATGACGTTGTGGGCAACCGACCTCGACAGAGTTAATCGAATAACCCCAAAAACCTGTCGATCTCATCAATCTTTTCTGTTCGTTTTTCTAGTAACGGAAGATGAAGTTTCTTCCCATAGAGGTAGTCTTCTATCTGCATCATTCAGTAAGTAAAATCTGTGTCATTGAACTTCTGGATCCCTAATGTCATCACTTCATCTCCCCTCATCGTTCTTCCTTAGATCTGAACCAAATTTCTGATATCAGTTGTTGTGAAAAACGACGCCAATAAAGCAAAAAATTGAACGAGAAAAAATTGCAAGTAGAAAAGCATCAGAGCGACACATATTTACGTGGTTCGACGAATTTGACCACGTCCACGGAGTTGCAGAGGATTTTATTTCTTCGATGAATTACACCGTCGAGTGTCTCGACATTTATAAGAAAATCTCTATTTTTTTCTCTCCATTCCTGTCTCTCTTCCTCTCTTTCTCTCTTAGAAGACTTGGCTTGGCCTTGACTTGACTTTTGACTTATGACAAGCCATAAGAGACTATTTATAGGAATCATGAGAGCGGCTCGTGGGTGGTAGGTGGGAAGTTAGTTGAGCGGTAGGTGGGATTTTTAATTAGAAAACTAATTAAATTGCGGTGGACCGGGTCTCCACATTACCCAACAATATATATGTAAATATGAATGTTCGGGCATTATATATGTAAATACATAAGAATTATATGTTATGTATGTAAATCCCCCGTTTACAAAAGCACCCAAGTAAAATTTCTTCTCTCATCAGTGTTCTTAGTGGCATTTGATTTACACATTCTATTTTCTTTTTTAAAATTTATTTCTAGTGTTTGTTGCCTCTTGTTCTGCTGTTCTTTATCTAAACGTCTTATGTTGCATCGCCGTTAGCTACAAATTAGTGACTTCTGTACGTGACAATTTCAGGGCTCAGCCTCTTAAAGAGCAGTAGCATCAACGATTTCCCCAAATGCTAGAGGTTCTGTTGAAGTAAGTATCCTCGGAACATTTGCTAAATGATTATATATTTTTCTCTCTTTTTGTGTTACAGTCGATGTGGTATTTTTGTGTACTTGTTATTTATTTAAATGCTTGTTCATATGCACTAACCCCCGTTCTTTTTTATTATTATGGCGGAGAAATTCTATTTATTTTTATCATTTACATATATATATTTAGTGATCATTAAGTTCTGCATTATGCTGTGGAGATTATACTTTCGGTTTGATCTCGGTTGCAAGTTAAATGTAGTTTCGGATTTTACCATCGATTTTATAGGGGTTTGACTGGTAGATGTCATTATTTTTTTAGGGCTTGATGAAACTTATATCATGAAGCGGAACATGAGTTGATACAGTTTATAAGAAATTAGTTTAGGGCCCTGGGCAAACACAAGCAACCAAATGGCCCTAAGAGGCAAACGGTGAAGCAGTCTGGCTGAATGGGTATAAGAGCTGTTCTTTAATACACTGTTTCGGTGCAATTTACAAATGACAGTTTATTTGCAATTGAAGAGAGAAATAGATAAATAAAGACGAAAATGTTATAAAGATTTTTATTTATTAACACGTCTAAGATTTCTTGTTTCGTAGGAACAATTTACAATTTGTCATCTGGGAATACTTTCCAGTCTCCTTTTTTTCTTTTTTTTCTTTTTTGCTGTGATTTATGTCAGTACTAAATTCCATACAGTACAAGGTGCAGAATATTTTGAATTTACTCTGTATATAGATGAATATCTTTTATAATAATCAAAATGTTTTAAGCGGATGAGCAGCTTTACATTTACAGAGATAAAATGGGAAATGAATGTATTTATGAAAGGTTTGGTGTAGCTCTGATTATACAAGATTAGAGATAATCATCTAAGATAGTTTGGTCATATTAAACATAGGCTGTCTGATGATCTAGTTAGAAGTATAGATGTTTTAGATTCGACGTATGTTAAAAACAGATGGAGGTACTCCTAAAAAAGACGTGGGCATGCATAAAAAGTGATCTTAATTTATTATAAATGAATGAAAATATAATACTCAATAAAACACAATGAAGAAAAAGAATTTTCGTAGCTGATTTCATGAATGGGATAAAAACTTATCGTTGCTGTACAATGAACCCGCAATTGTCTTAATTGACAGTAAAATCATGAAATATATGCATATACAGTACAACACTTTCTGTCGCATGTCTTCCCACAATAAATACCACCCAATTCTTATGTATCTACATATTTAACACCTGAGCTTTCTACATTTATACCACCCAAATGTTTTTTTGTACAAGAAATAGAACTATCATCACTTAAAAAAATAAAATAAAATACACCTTTGATGCATAGGTAAGATGACATATATAAATATTGAAGGTGAGGACTTGGCTAATAAAAAAAAACTAGAAGATTCTCTCGTATTTGACTAGAAAAGCTTAGAAAATTCTATTCTATTTACAAATAAAATTGGTAAGTATTGAAGGTGAGGACTTGGCTATGTAAATACATAAGAATTAAACGGTATGTATGTAAGTTTCCCTAAGTTTTATAATACTAATAAAAAAAAACTAAAACATTTGCTAGTGAGACGCAAACCAAGCTTCTTACACGGCAATCCAAAGCATTAGCGCTAAACCTTAGAAAATTCTATTCTATTTACAAATAAAATTGGGTAGAACAAAATACATAAATAAATTAAACCCTGACAAATTATCAAAAAGCCGTACCATCTGACTGCCCCTAATATAGAATAAAGACGCATTTGCATACATACACCCACCCAATTCTCTTGTATTTACATATCTAACACCTGAACTTCTACATTTATACCATCCATGTCTTTCAAATCATATAAAAAAATACCATCATTATCATTTTAGCTTCTAAAAAGTGAAATGCACTTTTTTTTTTTTTTTTTTTTTTCTTTTTTTTATTCATAGGCAAGGTGGCATGCACGTAAAAATTGAAGTTTAGATGCCAGATATGTAAACTCATAGGAATTGAGTGGTGTGTATGATTTATTCATAGGCAAGATGGCATGCACGTAAAAATTGAAGTTTAGATGCTGGATATGTAAACTCATAGGAATTGAGTGGTGTGTATGTAAATCTTACTAGAATAAATCAAACATGAAATTTTCTGTTCATGTCATCTTTAAAGTTGACAAATTTAGTTACTTGACCGACTTGGTGTCTTGGAGAGATGGCAGCGAGGACAACAACTAGAGCTAGAAGGGCGAGGGCGAGCCCAAGGGAATTGATAAGGAAAGCCTCTCGAGAATTACGGGCGAGGCCTCGGCGATCGAGCAAGAATGTTAGCTTCTCTTGAAGGCCAGTCTCTGCTGCCGCGACGGCTAGCCCGAATGTGTAAAGACCTACGAATGTATGCCAAGGAAGTATGGTCGAGCGAGTCGATCGCTCCTGGGGCTTGTGCCACATGCTGATGAACCCCATCGCCCACTGCAATTTGAGCGCATTAAATAAAATTAGTACATGAATTTGCTACAAAATTCCAATCTAGTGTTAATTTCAATTTAATCTTGGGCATTTACATAACACCACACAATTCTTATGCATTAACATATCTAACACTTCAATTTAATCTTGGCCATTTACATCTTCTGTAATGTCTACTGTCAAGCATTAATAGATTTGTTGAGCACATTAAAATAGGATTACTTGGATAAAACTTAGGAGAATGAATTAAAAAATAACATTTAGAGAGGCAATTGAAGTAGTAATTACAGAAGATCAGAAAGTTTAAAATATACTTTGGTTTTCTGGACCTATTCAATAAATACTAAAAACCCATTAGATGAAATTAGCGTTAAAGGATTATGAAAGGAAATAGTATAATTTCATTTGGAAAAATGCATCTTCTATACAGGATCTATCATGAACAAACAAAATGAGACAAAAGTTATAACAAAGTGAACAATCACAAAAAGAAATTACCAAAATTTCTATGGTTTGATTCTAAGCAAACTAGTTCACACGATATACAGCTCAATACTCATTAATTAATAAAGCTTATTTATGTTTGTCTATAAACAAAACTTCAGCAAACTTGAAAATGCTCATTTATTTTAACAACTAGAACTCTAAAAACTCAATAAAATGCTCATTTCATCACAAATTAATTGTTTGATGTTTAGTTTATATTATTATATCATTGCTAGAGCTGAGAACTACAAGAGTGTGCTTCAGATTCAGCATGAGATAGAGGCGGTGGTTCAGAGTGATAGATCGATTCAGGAGTACTCCATAGGGCTGGAGTAACTTCTCATCGATGTCGAGTTGTGGCGATCCAAAGTGCAAGAAATGGGAGATCCTTCATAGATGAGGACCATACAGTTTCTGACCCATTTGAACCCGACCTTTGATTAGAGGAGATCAGTCCTCCTAGCTCACGCGACCATCCCTACAATGGATGAGGCCATTGCTACGATAATACCGGAGAAGAGTCGCATGAAACTACACTCTAAGCCGAGTGGACTTCCGGGTGCGCAATCAGCTTTAGCTGCCTTCAGCTCAAGTATGATAGATGCCTAGGGGGAGACTCGCAAGTGCCACAACTATGATAAAGTTGGGCATTTGAGCAAGACATAACCTAGGCTACCTAAGGAAAGTGAGACATGTGAACGTGGACAGCGTGAAGACCGTGGTCATTGAAAATGTGGAAAAAGGAGCTACGGGACAAATTTGATGGTAGCATGAGAGGGAGAGACGTGTGGCTTTTATCAATGAGGATCAGACTGTCTGGAGTTATTAAAGAGAAAACAGAAAGCATAAAGTAGAAGAAGATAAGGCTAAGGAGGCTTCCAACCAGTCGTCATTAAAGGGTAACATTGTCACTTATGCTCACTCTGACAAAGGTACTTGTGATACACATGCGCTTGCATCTATTTCAACCACAGGATCATTAGAATGGATAATTGATTTTGTTGCATCTCAACATGTGACATGGAATGCTAGATAGTTTTCTTCTTATACTCCCCTAGAAGTATTAGAGAGCATCCAAACTACTGATGATACAACACAACCAATAGTTGGTAAGGGTACAGTGAATGATACCAATTATATGACTTTGTCCAATATTTTGTATGTTTATTTATTCCAGTGAACCTTTAATTCATTAATCTCATTATTCTCCAATTAAAATATATTATTTCTTTTGATATTCCTAAGGTAGTCTTGTAAGAGAAAAAAGATGGGTAAAACACTGGGGACTGAAACGTAATATAGTGGACTCTGGTACTTGAACCAGGAGGAGATGGACTCGGCTTTGGCATCCATGATAAAGAGTGCTGGAGTAGGAGAATCTGAAAGCAGTGTGAAAGATGTGTTGCTGCTACATCACAGACACTTGAGACACTATTGTTTTAATTTATTGAGTCTGTTATATCTTTCTTTATATGAAAACTGGAAGCAGTGTGAAAGATGTGTTGCTGCTACATCATAGACACTTGAGACACTATTGTTTTAGTTTATTGAGTCTGTTATATCTTTCTTTATATGAAAAAGAAAATAAACAAAAATTTATTTGTGATGCTTGTGAGCTTGACAAACGTACTATAAGCTCTTACATCAATTCTGGGAAAAAAAGTTCTAGTGTTTTTGACTTGATATCATCTGATGTTTAGGAACCTTTTTCTACAAGTTCTATGAGTGGTAACCAATATTTTGTGACCTTTATTAATTGCTTCCCGTATTATTTGGTTATATTTGATGAAAAAAAGGGTGATGCGTTTGCTTGTTTTAAAGACTTCCACAAGACAATCCAGACTCAATATGGTGTATTAGTGAAGTTATTTAGGTCTGATGATAGGATAAAGTATACCAGCAAAACATTTAAGGAATAATTGTTAGCCCGAGGGATACAATATCAAAGCACGTGCCCATACACATCGACAAAAAAAGGAGTAGCAGAGAGGAAAAAAAAGACACTCTCAAGAGGTAGCCCGAAGCATTATGATCACAATGAATATCCCAAAGCACTTATGGGGGCAAACAATTTTGGCAGTTGTTCAATTGATCAACAGGATGCTCTCGAGAATGTTGGATTGGAATTCTCCTTGTTAGATGTTAAAACGAGCAAAAGCGAGATCTTCCCATTGAAGGTGTTTGAATGCGTATGTTTTGTGAGGGATAACAAGTCATAAGTAGGGAAGTTGAGTCCTAGAGCTATAAATGTGTGTTCGTAGGTTATTTTACTATACAGAAGGGATACATCTGTTGGAGTCTGGCCGAGAAAAGACTGTGTGTGAGCATGGATGTGTCATTTAGAGAATTTGAACCGTTCTACACCCAAGAGGTGATCTCACCCTTCGGTGACTCGTCGGATGATGGAGATATGAGGCAAGGGGGTGAGTTACAAAGGTGAGAGAGTGGTACAAATGAAAAAAAATGTCGTCCTGTGATGTGGGATGAAATAGTTGATGAATCAGAAAATGAGGAGAGTGGACCCAGAGGTGATAGGGTTCAGGCTGAAGATGAGCTAAAAGTGTATACATGGAGGAAGCAAAATGAAGAAACGGTGTTTGTAGCGCCACATTTGCCAGCTAGTCCATTGTCCTGTTCTTCCCCGATTCTTGAGACACCTACGCCATCTAGATCCGAATCAGAACACCTATGTGATATGATTCCTCCTCCTAAGCAGCCCAAGTTTAAAGAGGATATCTCGCAGCAATGTTGGACATCCTCCCGATCATTTTGGGTGGGAACATGACATTACTAACTTTATTTCATATTCTAATTTATCACATTTACATGGAGCATTCATTGCATCTTTAGATGTTATCTCTATACCCAAGTGTTGGCACATTTCTAAGAAGGATCCCAAGTGAAAAGCAACTATGCATGAAGAGCTCAAGACTCTCGATAAAAATCGAATATGGGAAGATAGTGCCACCACCAACGGGAAAAAGGACAGTTAGGTGCAAGTGGATCTTCACATTGAAGCAAATTCCTGAAGGGAATGTGAAGGAGTGCAAAGCACGACTGGTGAAAGATTATTATTACATCAACGACAAAGATAAGCACAGTGAGGACATTGGTTCCTCTGGCAGTGAATGGTGGGTGGAGATCACACCAACTTGATGTGAAGAATACATTTCTTCATGTTGAGTTACTGCAATCCAGACAGCAGACAATATGTGTAAACTTAGGAAATTATTGTATAGCTTGAAACAGTCTCATCAAGCTTGGTTTGACAAGTTTAAAAAGGCCATGGTGTTCATGAGATATTAGCAGATCAATGTAGATCATATGATGTTATTTCGACAACATGAAAGTTAGACCACTATACTTGTGTATATTTACACCATCATAATCACCGGTGATAATGAGATAGAGATTTATCAACTAAATTTAAAATTGGGCAATGAATTTGAAGTGAAGAATGTTGGACAGCTCAAATACTTTATTGGGATTGAAATGACCGGTAGACCTAAGGGAATGGTCTTGTCCCCGAGAAAATATGTATTAGATCTTATCACAGAAACAAAAATGTTGGGGTACAAACATGCAATCTCTCCAATTGACCAGAAGACAAAATTAAGTGCAAAGGCAGGAGAACCAGTTAATCATGAGAGGTAGCAGATATTGGTAGGTCTTCTGATCTATTTGTGTCAAACTTGACCCAACATATCTTTTGCAGTGAGCGTGGTGAGCAGTTACATGCATGATGCAACAAATGGCCATATGGATATAGTGTATTAGATTCTAAGGTACTGGAAGAGTGCATCGGGGAAGAGTTTGATCTTCAGGAAGAATGTGCATATAGACATTGAGGGCTTTTGTGACGTTGACTGGGTGAGTTGTGCACAAAAGATAAAATTGCCCTTAGACACCGGCATAACAACTTCAAATTAGTTTTGTACATCAAATGGGAGGCAAAAATTAATGCATATGAAGATCTTGAGATGTGTGATCAGAGAAATAAGTGGCAAGAAAGAAAAAGAGACAAAACTAGGATATTCAATTTCCCATGCGAACTATTATGAGAATAAGAAAAATCCACAAAATTGAAGAAGAGAAAGGGATAATAGAAGAGAAAACCTTTCAAATTTCATTCATAATTAAAAAATAATAAAAATAGCATCTATTCAGCCCTACTTATAAAATAAGGTTAGAACATAAATCCAAATTGCAACTTAAAATCAAAATAAGTTCTAAAATCCTATCATCTAATCACAAATAAATACAATTTAAAATGAAATAAAATAAAATAAATGAAAAAAAAAGCCTAAATAACTATTATTCAAGAAATAAAATAGAATATTTTTGTGTGTTTCATCGGGTGTGTTTTCTTCATCCAGTCATGAGCATTTTGTTTGGCTATGGTTGGCAATTTAGAGAATAGGAGTAAATAGTAAAAAGTAAGATTTACATAACACTCAATTCCTATGTATAACACCTTCTTTATGCATGAAAAGGTGTATTTAACTTCTTCAAAAGTGAAAATGGTGATGTTTTTGAAATGTTTGGGTGATATAAATGTAAAAAAAAAACAAAACTTAGGTGTAGATATGTAAATGCGTAGGAAATTGGTGGTATGCATGTAAATGCCCCAAAAAAAATTAAGAAATTATGAGGGAGAGAGAAGAAGTTTGTGTGTGGGCTGCGAGGAAGAAAGTGGGACAGAAACAAAATAAATAAATAAAAAATAATGAAGAGAGAGAGAAGAGGGAAGACAAAAATCACATGGCACTCTTGTTTTCAGACACGGTGAACTATAAGGGAAAACTTTCTACAAATCCTTCACAAGATAAAACACTCTTCAGATGCATACCACACACTACTTATGTATTTACATATCCCAAAATCTGATATTTACATAGATACCACTCAAATCTCTAACATCGCATCAAAAATACTACCTTGCTACCTTTTTATAAGTCAAATAAACTTTGATTTATTCTTATGTTTATGACAACAAAGTGTTATAAATGTAAATATTAAACTTTAGGTGTTAGATATATAAATACATATGAATTGTGGGGTATGCATTAAAATTTCCCCTTTTTATTTTCTAAGGGTGGTAATGTTTCTTGATTTTTTGATAACCCAAAATGTTTATTTAATAAGCATCTTCAAAGTCGATCCATGATTTCTAATTTTGATAAAAAAAAAAAAAATTAATAATTAATGAAGGGGCCCCGGCCCTAAAAAAAGAAACAGTGCCTCACAGGTATCCTTATTCAACCAATTTTAAAACAGAGTGATGACAATGATGGCTTAGCTAACATGTTTCTAATTTTGATAAAAAAAAAATTAAATAAGTAATGAAGGGCCCCGGCCCCTTATTCAACCAATTTAAAAACAGAGTGATGACAATGATGGCTTAGCTAACATTTGTCAGCATGACAAAGAAAGAACAATGTAATTCTAACAAAGTAAAAGATAAATGTAATTCTATGACAATATGAAATAAACCCAATTATGATTACTTGCTTTAAGTGTTTATGAAACCAGTCGTTACTTGCTCTGGGAAATGGCAGCCTCAAGGTGCAAATCTAAGTGATCAAGTTTTGCCGGATAATCAGCATACTAACTAATAAATTAAAAAAAAGAGAGCCATGCATAGTTACTGGCGAGGATGTGAATTTTGCTCGAAGATTGTTAATTGCTCAAAAAATAATTCGAATTTTAGCTCGGATTGAAGAAAACAAGCCGAGTTATGAGCCAAAATTTTGTATCAAATTTTTTTGAGTTGATATCGAGCCAACCAAAAATCAGATCATTAACAGTCATAGTGATGTAAGGGTTGTGGATTCCACAAATTCAGCTCGAAGATCAACAATTGCTCAGAAATTGATTTGAATTTTGGTTCGATCAAGTTCAGATCAAAATAAACGTGCCGAGCTACAAGCCAAAATTTTGGATCGAATTTTTTTTGAGCTGATTTTGAGCCAATCTTTGATCAGCTCGAAATCGGATTGTTAACAACCCTAATGAGTAGAACAGGAGAGGTTGAATTCGAGCTGCCCATGGGGCATTTACATAAATACAATCCAATTCCTATGTATTTACATATCTAGCACCTAAATTTTACTCTTTATATCTCTACCACTCAAACCTTTCATATGGCATAAAAAATATCACTATTTTAAATTTTTAAATACATTTTTTTCAAGCATAAAAAATAAAATTGAGCTTTTAGATATGTAAATAGATAAGAATTAGTTGGTATGTATCTAAATGTCCGGAGAAAAAAAAAATAAAAATAATCTTGTGTTGACCTCGTTAAGAAGCTCGTATTTGAGTCGTTAGTGAAGTAAATGAGCCGAACAAAACAGTTTTTTTTAAGCTCGAATATAAACGAGCCAAACATGAGCAAGCCGTGGACTCGCTTAAGCTCGGCTGCACCGATAATTGAGAGAAGAGACGTGTAAGGAAATAACAAGGACGAGAGGGCGAGATAGCACCTGGGAGGCGAAAAGGGCGACGCAGGCCAGGCCAATCCAGGAGTGTAGACTGAAGAAGTTGGAGGAGATTCCGTCTTTGCCGCTAAACTTCGCCCAGATACCGAAGAGCCCGAAGCCCAGCCCCACCGCTTGAAGCGAAAGCTGCACCGCCTTCCGACTCTCCGGAGACTGCCCCGCAGGCCGCCGGAGGACCAGAATTGCTGCCAAAAATCACCGCAAGTGAGCTTTAGCACACTGACCGACTCCAATAAATTATAAATATGGGCTGTAAATCGAACAGTTTCGTAACAGTAGCATTTTTGTCGCACGTACGGCCATGATATTAGGTGCGCCACCAAAAGCATCACATGGGCATTCAAATAATATATATACATACATGCATATACATAAATTAATCGAATTTAACGAATAATATATTTTGGTTATGTTTAAAATTAGTAGCTTTTACATGCCAATCATTTAAAATAAAAAAATTTAGGCACAAATAAAAAAAAAGATAATTACATATAGAACAACCGGAATATTGATATTTACAAATTAGCAATCCAATTAATCTTTTTAACTACAAAACCAATGTATTTACATATGCAAAAATTAAGCTATTGAGAATTTGATAAAAATGAAAAATATGGGTTGGGGGTTTCACCATAAGCTTTGATATTTGAGTGAGAATTTGAAAAATAAATGAAAAAGAGTGGCTGAATTGTAAATGCTAATAAGTTTCGGGTTGGGTTGTCAAAAAAAACCCGTTGTTCGCGAACATCTCGTGTTCGGCTCGTTCGTTCTAACAAGCCGAACACGAACAACTCTTTGTTTGCTCGTGTTCGGCTCGTTTTAGCTCGAAATTAAAAAATATATAATTATAGTATAATAATATATTATATATATTCATATCTAAATTTAAATCATAATGTCTCGTGTGGCAATGTGGTTAGTGACTTCTTTTGTATATATTTGGTTCATGTTCGAATTCCACACTTTTCATCTATTTTTTTCAATTTAATTTTTCTGAGACAATTTCAAGCCGAACACGAACACAAATATTTAAATCGAGCCGAACACAAACACACTGCTCACGAGCCAATTTCGAACATGAGCTATTTCGAACAAGCCGAACACGAGC